GTGCAGTGTATAGTAGAAACTTATAACTTTGGATATTTAGGTCAAATGTCCACCGGTCCACTTTTCCCATCCCTTGGGGAGACTCTTCCACAGTTCCTCAGACAACTACATGGAAATATTTCTGGATGCTCCATTCAGATTTCCCTCCTCTGTTTCAAACTCATCTCAGCTACTTCTCCCATCCTCTTCTACAAGAGCTTCACATGTAGTCCAGGGGCTGAGGATCAAGCACAAACCCTTGAACCTGTTTTAAAAAGGGGGAACTGCAGGGACTCCCTTTTGCAAGGGGTAAAAATCCGAATTTATGAATTTTTTTCATTCCACTTTCTGGATTGATCACTGCAGTTCAAGTGAGGCTTAAATTCACCTTGAATACTTCAATATGACTTTCCCACTTCACTTTCTTTTTTCCTCCCAAAATTACCTAATGGCATAATTTTTCATTTTTAAGAACCGAAGTGAACTCTCCCACTGCTTTGGTTGTGAGAGTGCCCTGGGATTTTGTTTTGAGGCTGAGTCGAGTCAGTTCCTTTTTTCTGCAGTTGGTTTGAAACAATAGAGGGTGAACTGCTCTATTCATTGCCAGGAGGCACCAGCTCGGGTGCCGGTGGTGACATTTAAGGATTAACAGTTTCACTGACGATCATCCCAGTCGCCTTGTCCTGGAAGTAATTTTCCCTAAAATCAGGAACAGTCATCTGGAGGATGCAGGAGATAGCTTCTTTGAGAGGCGAGAGAGGGAGGAAAACAGAAGTGCAAATCCTCAGAAATGTGGTCTCAGAACAGAGTTATGTTTCGACACATATTTATCGCCTTCTACTTAGTTTTCAGTTGAATCTGCAGAGAAGAAGCTCCACCCTAGCCCTTAACCTTGAGCAGACTCCATTCTCTTGAGACTTAATCTGCAGGTGACTTTACCAGAGGAAGAGAGAGCAGGCAGAGAGAGCAGCTACCCAGTTCAAGTCCTTCGCTTCTCCCACTGTCCTCTTGCATGAAGCTGAGTGGGTCCTCACTGAGAAGTCTTTCTGTATTTTGTAACTGAAAAGAGATGGGGTTTTGTTCTTTAATAATGAATAAAATAAATAAAGAGGTGTTGCTATTTTTTAACTACAGGTGGGGCAGCTACAAGGTCCTACAAGCTTCAGGAAACACGACAAAACCTTTACCTTAGGAAAGATCTTTCTACCAGAAGAATGATGCTTACAACGAAGCTCCCTCATGCTCTCTCTTGTTACCTTAGAAACTTCTTTTAGCTAAAACTGCAGGTCTAAATATGTTACCATAAACCAGAAACCGGTCTTAAAACCAGTGAGCCTGCAAACTGCTCTAAGATAAAAATTAATTAATTTTTATTAATTTATTGATCTGATCTACTGTCTGTATTTGGACAAAACTTCCAATCCTTAAAGGATGCATTCTTGTTTTTAAGTGAAGTCTCTTCCCCTTCTGTTTTAGCCCTAGCTTTCTTTGTCCTTCCCACAATATTCTTGATATGTGATGTGCATTTGTTTTCAGCCTCCACCGCGAGATCCTAAAAAAAGTCTCCCCTGCTGCTTACAAATATTTTATTCTTTTAGCCACCCCTTTTAATTTCTTTCTGACAAGCTTCCTCATTTTCCTGTAGTTTCCTCGTTTGAAATTGTTATGCCACAGTGCCTTTTTTTTTGTGGTGGTGGTGGTGGTGATGTTTTTTGGCTCTGCTGAATCTCAGTGTGTTTGTGTTCACTGCGGCAGAGAAGCTGCTGGATGGAGCCATGGTGAGCCGGATGGCCTGAGCACGGCTCAGGGCAGTCACGAGCTGCTTCGCTTTCTCTTATTTTCCAGCTCACTGCTCCACGCAGTGCCTGTTGATGATGTCTAAGCATTCAGCCTCACCGTCATGCCCTGACATGGCATTTGCGTAATTTAATGCGATTAATTGACACTTGTCATCACCATGCTTCCCTCACAGTTTCTCTGGGGTTTTTTTGCTGGTTCATGAGTGCTGTCACCATCCTTGTCTGGCAGTCCATAATATAATTCCAGCCCTATGCATTTAGTAGTATTTACCTGGTCTGTGGGGATGCTGTTACTGTTACTTCTTGATGCAGTTAGTTATTTAACCTAATTTAACTGTAATTTTACTCGAGCAGAGAACAGCCCCATCTGTCTTCCCTGTGTATTTTGTATCCTATTGCTATGACATCCTACTCACTGCCCTTCTTCCACCAAGTTTTTGATGCACTTGCTGTGGTAATGTCTTTGATTAAAACTAGCTTTCCTCTTCCTCCATCTCATTCCTTAGACTCCTAGCCTGTTTTGGGAGTACAAATAGGGGTTTTTGGGTCTTGTGACATGACCGAGAGAGAAGCACCTCAGATTTCATGAGCTCCACCAGGGGCTTTGCTGTTGGATTTGGATAGAAGAAGACCCTGGAGCACCACAAGAGCAGGATGTCGTACATAAGCTTAAGGAAGAAGCAGAGGGAAATCCAGGGTTCCCTGACTTCAGTAACCATTAGCTGCACATTCAGTGTGACTTCTTAGAAAGTCGTCTTGTCTGTGCAGCTGTCATACTGAGATTAATAAAACAAGCGAACCAAACCCCACTGGAGCTCATCCGTGGCAGTAAGTGTCATCCTCTCCTCAACCTGGGAAAGAGGAGATTTTAGTCCTGAGATTTCAAACGGCTTATGGAAAGTGAACGCCTCTCATGTCAAGCACAGCTCCAGGAGAAGACAACGGGAAAGCAAGGTGTAGCCTGGAGGTTAACATGTCATGCTGTACATGAGCAGATCCTGCCCCACCCTTTGAAAGGAAGCTGTGCTGGGCTACGGTGGAGGCTGCCCCAAGGACTCATCCTCTGCCACTGGCAGCAAATGAACAGAGGACAGAGGTGGTGAAAGGGTGGAGGGACGTCCCAAGGTCTTCAAGGCTCACACTGCCATCCTGCCCACCCTGCCACGGGAGAGGCAGATGAGAATGTAGGACTGACTTGGGAGCCTCCCGGAAAGATTTAACACAACTGTGTGTCTAAACCTGTGAACAGGATGCTGAGGTTAAACTTGTCGCTGTTGCTGAGAAAGTTAGGGGAAAGACCTTGGGTTTCTTTTTGCATTTAGGTTGGAACACGGTGGCTGTGGCAATGCGGCTCTGTGTTTCCACCCCGAGCTTCGATGCTAAGGCAGGAGCGGGTTTGCTGGGAGGCTCCTGCCAGCACAAGGTGCCACATGGTGCTTGGGGGGCTCCAGTTTCCTCTCCTGGGGTCAACCATCACAGGGGCCAGGCCAGCCAGCTCTGTGGCCAGGCAGGGGCAGAGCTGTGACTGACCTGGAGACAGGTACACCTCCTGGGAAGCTCAGGCGGGGACTGACAACCCTGAACCCAGCCAAAATGGGACCCTGGGCTGGTGGGCAGGGGCATGGGGTGGCCCCAAGGAGGCTAGACAGAGATGGTGACGGCAGCGATGTGTAGAGTGTAGACAGACGGGGATGTCCTGGAAATGCCCAGGACACAAGCGCACTGTGTAAAACCACCACCAGTTTTCATGTGACTCCTGTTCACTATGGTTTCTTCTCTCTTTTACAGCTCCCTGTCTGTGGCCAGCAGTTGTGCCAGGCTTGGCTATAGGCTTTGGGATACTGAGCATCTCCCTAGCGATTGCTTTGATTTGGAAGATGGGTAAGTGCACGAAGGGGTGCTGAGGGTGAGCAACCAACAGCAAAGAACCGGAAACTCATCTAAGCACAGGAGCTCAGATCCTGAACTCCGTTATACAGGGTTAAACCAGAAGCTATTCTAGGTTTCTACCAGCTTTAAGTACTCACTGCCTATCCAGAATATTTTGAAGAATATATTCCTTGTGCAGACCCCAGGCAACCCACTTTGGATCCTGTGGCAAAGAACAGTGAAACATATGAGGGTTTTTGTAGACTTGTCTGCTGTAATTATAGTGGTAAACTGTAGAACAAATATGCAAAGTCTTTAACGCTTTGGCATGCATGCAGAAGGTGTGAGACAATGTGGGAGAGCCTAGCCTACTCTTTGCTGTTGAAAATCCGTTCACCTGACGTGTGATATGATCACACCGTACCCACAGAACGATGTAATTTTTTCCCTCACTTTTGGCACCCCCAGAGGGTTGTCTGCTTTCAGATAGCCCATTTTGCTTCTCAGGTATCTGAGTACTTCAGAGGAAACCCGGGCAGGGGGTTGCACCAGCATCAGAGTGATTGTGACTCTTGTACGAAGATTTGGAAATTACGCAGAGGATCTCAAGTTCAGCGTTGATGCATTGTTATTTTTAGATGCTTATCCTAACTTGTGTTTTCTCCATTGCAACTATCCAGAAGAGCTGCTTTTCAGCAGGTCCTTGCTGACAGGTGTGTCTGTTGTCTAACGGTAGAGAAAAACTGGTTTTTTGATTCCTATACAGGTGAATCCCACGCACACTGCCCTGAGCAGTGGGTAGCCTACAGAGGGAGCTGCTACTTCTTCTCCAGGGTGAAGAAGGACTGGCATTCCAGCCAGGAATCCTGCTTGGCACAGGGAGCTCATCTCCTGGTGATCAGCAATACCTGGGAAATGGTAATGGTTTTCTCCTTTGAGGATGTTCCATTTCCTTACGGGTACCTCAGTGACTGACATCCAGGCAGTGCTGTCACCCTGCCAGTATTTTGACTTCAAAGGCAAAGGAAGATTTATGACTGTGACGTTATAGTGCACTTCCAGTTTCAGTATACAGCTTAGAAGTTCCCTGCAGGCAAAGAAGCAAGGGGGAGAATGGAGAGGTGAGAGTCACTGTCACCTACTCAGAATCATCCTATGAAGGATGTTAGGAGACAGCCTTCTCCACTGCCCCCCTCCACCTCTCCTATCCCCAATAAGGCTGATATGAATGATTACAGGAAAAGACTGTGGCACTGTGCGGTCACTGTACTTATCGCCTACAAATCAATACGTCTCCACTCTCCAGAAATGCTTCCTTTGCAAAAGTGACGCCTCTCCTCCCTGCCACCACTGCAGCTCCTCCTGCTCACTGACCCTTGCCACTCCCTGTGTTCATGCACGGTGTCGTGGTTTAGCCCCAGCCAGCAACTGAGCACCACACAGCTGCTCCCTCCTCCCAGTGGGATGGGGAGGAGAATTGGAAAAAATGTAAAACTCGTGAGTTGAGATAAGAACAGTTTAATAACTAAAGTAAAACAAAATATAATACTAACAATAATAAGAATAATAAGAATGAAAAGGAATATAACAACAACAAAAACAAACCCCAAACCCAAGAAAAGAGCAGTGATGCACAATATGATTGCTCACCACCCGCTGACTGATGCCCAGCCCGTCCCCAAGCAGTGATTGGCACCTCCCAGCCAACTCCCCCAGTTTATATACCGGGCATGACATTCTACGGTATGGAATATCCCTTTGGCTGGTTGGGGTCAGCTGTCCTGGCTGTGCTCCCTCCCAGCTTCTTGTGCACCTGCTTGCTGGCAGAGCATGGGAAACTGAGAAATCTTTGACTTAGGATATGCACTACTTAGCAACAACTAAAATATCAGTGTGTTATCAGCATTATTCTCCCACTAAATCCAAAACACACTGTACCAGCTACTAGGCAGAAAATTAACTCTATCCTGGATGAAACCAGGACACACGAATATTTCTTGCTCAGTCTGTTTTCAATGCTTACTTCGTCTCTCTGCCAAAAAAACTCACTTGTGCTGGTGAAATCAGAAACCATCTGTTCCACTGCTCATTTTCCAGCAGGTGCTCACCAGGGGCAGGAGGATGTGTGACCACTAAAGAAATGGGGAGAGCTGATCACTAGGGACGTGAGGCACGTCTGCCGAAGCAGAGCAGAAGTGCTTGATCTGGTTTTGCACAAGCCAGGGCTTATTAGCTCAGGTCCAATGAACGTGGACAGCTTCCAGACCCTGGACAGAAGTTGCATTGTATGGTGTTCTGCGAGGGCTTACAAAGCCAGGTCTCTGCTCGACTGGTAGTATGTACCAGGCTGTCACACTTGCTTCGGCAAATCCTGATTCTTTGGGAAATACCCGTCTTCCCCAGATTACCCATTTCTCTGCATAAAGCAAGCCTCCCTGGTCTGGCTGCTTTCTTTACTACTAGTCTTTTCTACTAGAGTGTTACCCATTATCCTTGCTCAGACTTCCCCACGTAAGCAAGACTTTCCTAGCTATCCATACCCTGTGCTGCAAAGGCTGTGACTGTTCCACCTCCCTTTGCCAGGGAAGCACAGTCACCTCCAAACCATGAGCAATGCTCAAGCATCTCTCGAGCTACTCGTATTCCCACCACTTTACCAAACCAGATACGTTAATGCTTCTGCGTGAAGATGTCCGCTCTGAAACTTTGTTTTTGGCAGCAGGAGATAGGGATGGGGCCCAGCCATGTCACTGAAAGGTTGCTATTGTTTGATTTCATTGCAAATGTGGACAAGATGAACTTCTCTCTCTTGTCTTTGTCTTTTTTTTTTTTGGGGGGGGGGGAGGGCGGGGATTTACTTCAGGGCTGAGGTTCTATTGAAGGCTTCACCTTTTAACAGTAAACAGGACTTAAAGGTTAGGCAAAAGGAAATGAACGTTGAAAACATGTAGGAGGAAAGTTTGTATAAGATTTAATGAGCTTTGGTCCTAGACTCTTTACACAGATCTGTCAGTGCCGGCACCTCCTGCCTTACCCTGATTTTACCTTTAAATGTTAATACTTTGTATTAGCTTGCTAGCTAGCTGTATGGTAGAGCATTAATGTTAATACTAATAGCATACGCTCCTACATAAAGCTCTGTGTAGGAAACTCCAGGAGACTGGGGTGCAGTTGGTTCACATCTATTGCCCTGAGAAATGTCCTTTGAAGAATCTGCCCAGGACTCTTGAGAGCACGCTTACCTCCTTGTGAGTGTACACATAGTTTTTATTCCAGGCATGATCTGCAGGGCTGATTTTCCCGATTAGAAGGTGTGGAGAACCAGTACTGTCAGCCACTTAAGGAACAGTCGGGCGAGGGGATGTATCTTGCTCTCTGTTCTCTTTACATGTCCTTACCTCCATTTTTCAGGCTGGCTTTCATTAGTCTCTTTGTAATTCATCACCATTTCTAGGACCTGTTCAAGAGTATTCAAACAGGGTGTTTCTGGATTGGACTGAGGAACAACACAAGCTCTGGATGGATTTGGGAAGATGGCTCTATGCTGAATGGCACCAAGTGAGTTTCATTCTGGTTTAAAAACAACAGTGCTAATTCATACTGCCTGGTTTTCCACAACACCCAGGGTTCCTACACCAGATCTCCCAGGAGCTTTCCTCCTGGGCAGATTTTCTTCTTACTGTCACCTGTATAGTGCTGAACTCAAAAGGGTCTACTTTTTACTGCCCTGCACCTTCTAAAGGCCGGTACCTGTGAAAAGCAGGGCTAACATTGGTATCTCACTCGCTGCTTCCCCCCAGCTGCTCAGACCAAGGATTATTTACCTGCACTACCCACACAGTTGCTCAGTCAGGAAAGCATATGATCTGTCTTGGCTTTACTGGGTTTAGCCACCTTACACCCGTTCTGCCAAGTGCTGGTGACACTGGGTGTGAGGACCCAGCCCTTTGCTGCTTCACTGGTGCCAACCCAAGTCAGAACCTTAATTTTGGCTCAGTCTTTACTTGGACAAAACTCAGCATTCTGCATGAGGGAAAACATTATGATTGGGTCCAGTGGCTTTGCCTGACCCTTCTTTTTTATGGCAGTTAAGACAATGAGTTAGTCTCTAACACTTCTCCAGCAAAGAAACTCGCCCAAGATCTCACTGTCAGTAGGTCAGTACTCTAATCACTTGGCTTAATCCCCTTCTTAAATCCAGCTTTCTGTTCTTACAAACTCCTTGGAGGTAATCACTTTCCATGAAACTCTCAGCACTACCGTTCTCGTGCTGGTGGATCTCACTACCACTGCCGGACATCAAGTCTATGTTTGGTTCTGGTTTGGATTCCACAATGGCAAAATTACTTACATGTGTAATCTCCAGGTAGACAGAGTTTTTTGGTGTACGTTTTGATTTTTAACAGCTGCCCTTTGGAGGTGGGGCTCTTTCATTTCCTCTGGGCTCCACCCTTCAAAATCAGATATTTTTTTCTTTCTTGTCTCTAGGAGACAATTTTCTCTCAGACTCGCTTTTGATCCGTGTCTCTTGCAGGGTGCTCTCTAACAGCCCTGTGCAACACTGTGTTGTCCTGATGAAAGATCACTTTCAGGCCTCCAGCTGTGAATTTTCTGCTCCGTGGATCTGTGAGAAATCTCTTAGATAAATCCCATGTGCATTTTCATCCCATAACCATCTCATCAGTGATACAAGCTCTACACAAGACCAAGGACTTGCCCTTTCCACACCCTCACAAAGATGTTTTGCAGGGACAGGTTTGTTGCCCATAAGGGTGAGTTATCCTCAGTAGCAGATTCATTCTCAGTCCACATGTTGGATTACTGCTGTTTGTGACCTGGCACATATTCCCTGGCCTAGTCTTTGCCTTATTTGTCCTATAAGGGCAAAGAAAAGTTTTGTCGCAACAGATGCTGGGTCTTCAGACCTCTGAGGGTGAGCTGACCATTTTCCTTCATTCCTGAGCATCAGATTTCATTTCCATTCCCTGCATCTCCATTGTCTGCTGCCAGCAGAACGGGGAAAATGAAGCCTACTATTCACTGCCAGAAGCATATAAACAGACTTCTCCCAGTGGCAGCCCCTACTTTTGCACACCGGTGTTATGAGTGGGAGAGAAGAAGGTGAAACGAGACTACAACTTCTGTAAATCCAGCAGTGAAAATAAACTTCCAGTACTGCACTGGACCAAAAGCATGTACCCATGTCATTACTTCTCTCTGTTGGAAGGACCCAGCTGCACACCATGTTTTATAGGCCAACTTCAATGAAACTAGTCAAGAAGCTGGACTTCTGGAGTCAAAGGAATACAGTTAATGGTGTGTTATTATTGAATCAACCAAGAACATGTTTCCCTCTCCACTTCTTGCATTTTCATACTGCAGAGAGAGGAAGCAGCGGACAAATCCTTATTATAAGGAGCTTTCGGTTCAAATAGAGCAGCAACAGGCTAAGAGTGTGAACAGCATAAAGATACAGTGAACATTAAGGGTGGGACAGTAGGTTGCATCTCCACACACCTGGAAAACTCTCTTTTCCACCTGGAAATTTTGTTCCAACAAAGGAAGAGAAATTTTAGTAATTTCCAATTTATCCTATTTATCTTAATATATTTATATTCTATTCCAATTTACTATTATAATTTTATCCTTGGTCTGGAATTGCAGTTTATAGTCTAATGCAGTCAGAGCAGTAGCTCTGACAGGACTGCCTGATGATGGGTGGTCCTGATGCAAAATGTCTGCCATTACTGTCTGGGGGTTTGACTGTACTTGTCCAGCATATCCGCTGCATGCTAGCGGCCATACACCACTGAGCCTTTATGAACAGTCTTTGAAGCACCCTGTTGTGAACATCCACCTCACTATGCATATATGACACGGTGCACAGGAATGTTTCCATGGGGATTTCCCAAATAGCGAGTCGCAAACCTTGGCAAACAGCAGGTTAGCAGCAGATGTTCTGAGGTGTGTGTTTGTTCTGGAAGAGACAGGCTGGAGAAATGGGCTAACAGGAACCTTGTCGATTTCAACAAGGAAAAGGTCAAAGTCCTGCAGCTGGGCGGGAACAACCCCGTGCACCAGTACATGCTGGGGGCCACCCAGCTGGAAAGCAGCTTTGCAGAAAAGGATCTGGGGACAGTGGAGGTGGTCCTGGTGGACACCAAGTTGAACGTGAGCCAGCAATGTGCCCTTGCTGCGAAGGAGGCAAGTGGTATCCTGGGCTGCATTACAGAGTATTGCTAGCAGGTCGAGGGAAGTGATCCTTCCCCTCTGCTCAGCACTGGGGAGGCCACAACTGGAGTGCTGTGTCCAGTTCTGGGCTCCAAAGAGATGTGGATATTCTGGAGAGTCCAATGAAGGGCGACAAAAATGATGAAAGGGCTGGAGCATCTG